ATAATCCAGATAACTAGTAATTACAGAACAGAGATAACTGCTCTACAAGAAATAAGATGGCCAGGAAATGGCATTTTAGAATCAGGGAATTCTACAATCTTCTATAGTGGAACAAAAAATCAAAAACATGAAAATGGAGTTGGCTTCATCGTAAAAAATTCAATGGTGAATTCGGTTAATAAATTCGAACCAATCAGTGATAGATTATGCTATTTGCAAATCTCGGGAAAAGTTCTGGATGTTGTGTTCATCAATTGCTATGCCCCAACGGAGTCGGCTGAAAACAACGCAAATGACGACTTTTATGACTCATTAGAAAGAACTTTCGACAAACTTCCCAGGAATTGTATAACGATCATAGTCGGAGATCTAAATGCCCAAGTCGGCCGGGAAGAGATTTTCCAAAGAACAGCGGGAAAGGAAAGTCTACACCTAGAGAGCAATAGCAACGGGATAAGATTAATTAGTTTCGCTGCATCAAAAGACCTAATAATTAGCAGCACCCAGTTCCAACGAAAAGAAATACATAAACATACCTGGACCTCCCCAGGTGGAAGGTTTAAAAGCCAAATCGACCATATATTAATTAATAGAAGACACAGAAACTGTATAACACAAGTAAGAAGCTGCCGAGGAGCTGATGGGGATACGGATCACTATCTTGTAACAGCATGTTTTAAAGTAAATCTATCAAGAGTATGGAACAAAAGGATGAAAAGTAAGCCAATACTGGATACAGAAAAATTCAGAGACCCTGAAACCAGAAGAAATTTCCAATTGCTAACAAATAATCTACTAAAAAACGAACCCACTAGCTTAAGCAAGAATATAGAAAACAAATGGAAAGATATTAAGGAAACAGTTAACAGGGCCGCTGAAATCTTTAAAGAAAACATTCGGAAACCAAAAAACTCATGGTTCAATGACTTATGCAAGGATGCAATCAATAAAAGAAGCGAAGCCAGAAGTAAAGCTATACAGAATCCAACACCGGAAAACCAAGAAGAATTTTTAACACTTAGAAACCGAGCTAATAAAATTATTAGAAGAGAGAAGAGAAAGGCTGAAAAAGAATTTGTAAGTAATATTGAGGAACACAGGCTAAACCCTAGAAGGTTTTTCAAAAAATGTAATTCTATAAAGAAAAGTTTCAATGCTCAACTCACTATGCTGAAAGATGATTGTGGACACCTTATTACAGATGAAGCGAATATTTTAAAGAAGTTTCGAGTTTACTTTAAAGATCTATTAAATATAAATCAAGACAATAACGTTCCGGAAGAGGTCCACCTGCTTCGCTATACAGTACAGCCAGAGATCACTGAACCAGATGAAGAAGAGATTAAACTAATTATAAAAATGCTAAAGAACAACAAGGCCCCTGGGGAAGACAACATAAATGCTGAACTATTTAAAATTTCGACCCCAAAAATGTTCTCGGAAATATATACTTTAATCAAAGAAATCTGGAAAAAAGAACAAATCCCTCAGGATTGGAAATTGGCAATAATTTGCCCAATATATAAAAAAGGCGATACAATGGATACAAAAAACTATAGAGGGATAGCACTATTAAATACCTGCTACAAAATATTATCCACTGCTATATTACATAGACTGGAAATATATTCCAAAGATATAATAGGAAAATATCAAACTGGATTCATAAAAGGAAAATCTACCACTGACCATATATTTACGATTAGACAAGCATTAGAAAAATATTATGAATTTGAAAAAGAAGTGCACTTATGTTTTGTTGACTTTAGCCAAGCTTATGACAGCATCAATAGAAACAAATTATGGATAACCTTAGAAGAATTTGAAATACCTTCAAAGTTAATCCGATTAATAAAGGAATGTAATTCCAACACAGCGTGTAAAGTCAAATTCCGAAATCAATTATCTGAAAGTTTTGACGTGAACACAGGCCTGAGGCAAGGTGATGCCTTGTCGCCACTACTTTTTAATTTAGCCCTTGAAAAAGTGGTAAGGACAATGCCAGCATATCAAGACATGGAATTACTAGGGGAATACTCTATACTTGCTTATGCGGACGACATTGTGGTAATGGGTAATACACGCATCGAGGTAACCGCAAAAACCGACGATCTACTTAAAGCTGCCAAATGTATGGGCCTTAAAGTTAACCAAGACAAAACAAAATATATGGTCGTCAGCAGAAAAAATGAGATGGTAGCTGATCTAAGTGTCGGGGAGTACACTTTCGAAGCGGTAAACGATTTCAAATACTTAGGTACTAACATAAATAAGAACAACAATATGCATAATGAAATAAAATTAAGAATCTCAGCAGCCAATAAAGGTTTTTTTGCATTAGTGAAACTTTTTAAATCTAAACTCCTATCTAAAAAATCAAAGATCAACTTATACCTGAGCTACTTACGCCCAGTCTTGGCGTATGGCTGCGAAACGTGGTCGGTGACAAAAGGAGACGAAGAGAAACTGCTAATCTTCGAAAGGAAAATACTCCGCCGAATCTATGGTCCTATCTATGAAAATGGAGATTATCGAATAAGAACAAATGGGGAGATATACCAGCTATTCCAAAAACCAAATATAAAAGCATTCATTAGAAGCAAGAGACTCGAATGGGCTGGACACTTATGGAGAGAGAATGGCATATGCAAGCAAGTTCTGTTGGGCAGAATCAATGGTAGAAGACCCAGAGGCCGCCCTAGACATAGATGGATGGACACTATAAAATCAGACCTAGCAAAGATTGCACCAGAGACAGAACTAGCAGGAAGTGAAAATAGAGAGAAGTGGCAAGAAATTGTGGAAGCAGCGAAGGCCCTCAATGGGCTATAAAAGCTAAAAAAAAAAAAAAATTATTATTATTATGTAGTATTAATTAAATTCTAATTGAGATGATTTAATATAAGTATGGACACTTTTAGGTTATGAACATAAATTGTTGAAAGTCCATCGTTAGAAATTTGCAAGAACCTGTTTGATATTAAATGGAATGATACTTTAATTAAAGGTCTTCAGACGTATTCTGACAAGAATTGAAGCTCTTAATTACTCATAAAATTAGGAGATGACTGAAGCCCAAGGCAACGGCCGGAAACTTATTCAAGTATAAAATGAGCATGTGATTGAACGTTTTAGACGGTGTGGCATTAAAAGCATTAAAAACTAGCTAATACTGATGCAAAGTGATTAAGATAGGTCTTGGACAGTGTTGTAAATCTATATATATATATATATATAATCCAAATACCACTGACTGACTGATCGCTGTATCTCAAAAACTACGCAACGTACCGACTTGAAATTTAGAATATAGGTTCTTCTCGTATTTTCACCGTGCAATAAGTAGGGATTTTCAAAGATGTTGCTTTTTAGTGGAGTAACAAACGATTATAATTATTCACCGCCAATACGTATATTGTGCGACACGGCGGCCCGCGAGTCTCCAGCTACCTGCAACCTATCTTTTTTGTTCATCGTCGTCCGGTTGTCGTGTAGATAAGAATAATTGTTCCGAGAAGTTTATCGATAAAAATAATCTCATGCATCGAGCGTACACCAATACTCCTATTTTATCATAATGAACGATAAAATGCACACCGATAACATAAACCAATACACATACAAATTCTATTGATCTAGATACACAATAAGAAAGGAATTTGTGATATTCGCTTTTTAAAGAGGTGGCAAAACAGGAATCTTAAGATTCACGGTGGAAATCGAAACTTTTTTTGTTCATTAATGGTTACCTTTTGATTGCAAGTTATATGATATGCAAAATTATTTCACAAAGCTAGGTAAAATTACGCCGGATTGTCCATAAAAACAAATAAAATAACCATTCAGAGTATATTGATGTATAAATATGAAATACTCCTAAAAATCCGGGATGATAAACTATGACTTAAATACTATTTTAGGTACACTTATACACATTTTTTTCAACTACAAAGCTGTACTAATATAGGCTACCTATATTTTATCTCCCCCCTTAATGTGTCCGCAATCTACAGCAGGTAGATTGCCTACCTGATAATATACTGTTCGCATTACCATAAGCGAAACTCAGGCCAACGACACACGGGATGGCCAAAAATTAAAATATAATATGATTTTGCTTCCATACCTATGCAGAGTGAATTACACCCAAAAGGAGTTTTTCCGGGCAACGCCGGGTGATTCAGCTAGTAATTTATAAAACCATTCATGCATCCACGAGTATAAGTTAAAAGACATGCTAAACTAAAAGTGCATTTTTGAAAATAAAGTATAGTAGGTTTTGTGTGTATTGGTCGTCATTGAGGAGGCACTGCTATGGTTGTGATTAAATTTAATTCAATGATAGATCATTGTGTATAGATATGAAAAAAACTATTCTTAGCCGAGACGGTCAGTTGTGGTCTTCCTTTGTTTCTCAGAATATTTCGTAATATTTTATTCATATGGATAATAGTCATGTATTTTCCTATAGTAGACAATATTAAAACACTATGCTGAACTAATTTTCGCAACAATATAACTTATAATATTATAATAATATCATACACTATGACTGTTTTGGGCTGATAAGTCAATATCTATCACGTACATCGTAGAAGTCGAACACTTAAAATGTTTATAATTGCATAAAATGTGCCAAAATGTTTTGAATAATGCATAGAAAATATAAAATGTATACGTTTTTCTGTAAAATAAAATTGTATGTTATCACGTAATATAACAAAATTCTAAATAATATTTCAATGTTGGTACTTTTAGGTATAATATGCCTGTAGGCAATATCTACTTACCTATATTATGTTGACAGTATTCATCTGAAAGCTTATAACAAATGTTTTAGACTAAAGTATTGAAATAAAATATGGTAAAGGAAAACTGTGCAAACATAAATAAATCGAAATCGTTGAGTAGTATTGTTATTTTTTCAACCATTTTATATCAAAGCATTATGAAATGTTATGAAGTAGGAATTAGTTACAAACTATTTGTGGAGTAGTCAAGTTAGGTTATACCGACCAAAATGCAAGTTCTTCATTTTTATTTGGTGAGTATTTTGTCTTGTGTTAACACAGCATTATCATTAGGAGGACTAACAACATTGTACTCTCCCGGAAGTGTTCAATGTACACAGACATCACAGTTATCGAAACTACAGCCCCAATCAAGCAGCTCTTTTCCATCTACTTTAAATAATAATTTAAAATATAAGTCTCAGTCGAACAATACAAGTGGTAATATATCTATGATTAATAATAGTTCTAATGCACAAGTGGTATCAGGAGTAAATGGAAATGAATCGGACCCTTTCACCAGTGAAAATGGTATTGGTCAATTGTCAGACGTCTTATTACCCGCCAGTGAATCCGATAAACCTGGTAAACCTGGTACCGATTCATTCAACCTTTATAAAAGTACAGTACTAGTTTTCAGATTTGTATTTAATACTTGGCTAGAACATAAAGAAGAATTATTAAAAGATATCGCAAACAAATGCGGAATTTCTAATGATATTGTTCAAATAGTGAATGGTTCAATGACACAACTATTCAAGATGCAACGCAACAATAGATCACTAAAACTAAGTAATTTAGCAAAAACGTTCTATTACATGTTTGACGTCAAACACATGATTGAAAATTTTGTACGTAAGGAAAATATTATAAGTAAAATACAATTGTTGATAGAACAAATAGAATCTGATATAAATATGAAAGATACAGCTGAATACGGTGAAAGCGATATTACTTCTGTTGTTCAGAATCTAAAAGGCTTCTTAGAAAATTATAAAGATGGCAAGTATAATAACAACGCTATTATGGTTAATATAGGGTTAATGAAAGGCATGATGCTGATAAACCTAACAGAAAATGACTGAGTGAATTATGAACTGAATAAACTAAGAAGATCATTATCAGAAGACTTCATTGAAGAAATTAAAAATAATCAATTCAAAACAGATGAGTCACTGATAGAAAAAAATCACGTAGAATTAATGCGTAATATGATTCCCGGTGTATTTAGTCTAGTACACAACCATATCAAATTATTAAACATCTTATCAACACATGACCTTGATATTTACCAAAAGGAAAACACTCAAACGGCGAGCAAATTGTTAAAAGACATGATGTCTACCTTTATAGAACGTTTTAAAGAATTTGGGAAAATGAACGAAAAAGATGATTCAGATTTAAAGACAATAACAGAATTGTTGGAAAAGCTGTCTGGTAAAACGTATGAGGACATTAAACAAAATATTCTCGAATTGGAAGATCAGAAAAACACTGCAAACCCTCAAGAATCATTAGCTACAAATCAAAAAAAAATTCAAAAATCTAAAGTATTATTATCTATAGAAAACGCAATCACTGCAGTATTGGCTCTAGCAAGAAAAAATGAGAGTGTAGAAAAATGGAAAAACAATACAGTTTTTAAACTCGAATCCTTACAAAAGAATCAGAATAGCGAATATTACATGAATTTGCTAACTAATAACTTCGATGTAACTTATTCATTGGTAGGTCAGTTTGAAAAACATTTCTTAGATGAAATTGATAAAATTAAATTTATTAATGGTGGAACCGAGGTTTTTTTCTCTAATGAATGTTAACTTTACAAAGATATTAACTTTGCACTAAATTGTATATTTATTTTTAATATAATCATTTTCATAATATGTTCATACTGTTCTTCGTCAGTTTTAGTTGAATAGTTATCATTCATAAAGTCGTAATAAAAAAAATAATACATCATAAATCATAATCAGTCATTATACATTCACGGGTACTACTGACTGTAATTAAAAATATTGTACTGATCATCGATATGAAATAAAATAATAATAATTACATTTTAGCATAGTAATTTGTTAATATACGTCAGGCCAATGAAGCGATTTTGCTGAGACTAAATAATTATTATGATTTGATTACAACTGTAATAAGACATCGCTTCTGCTACGAAGAATGGAGAGTCCTGCTGCTGTCCTAGAGTTGGCAGAAGCATTAAAATATATATATTGGTCTTAAGTGGATAAGCAACGGCTGTAACACGGACATGTGCACTATTTTATATTTGTTTTTAACTATTAATAAAAAAGTTTCTGACCAAAATTATTTGTGTTGAACTTTTCTTATGCTATACCATTCAGTTAAATTAATTATATGAGTAATGAACCCATAAGATGCTTGATGTCTCGTGTCAATTAAACGAGCCCTAAATTTAATTTTTAATTATTTTTTACACTCCAGTAAAAACAAAGACGTATATTCGTTATAATATTCTATTATATTTCCTCATATATAACCTCATATGTTTTTTTAAGCAGTTACCATAATATTTGTAAATACTGCTTAGCCCGTATATTTCATAAAAATTGGTAAGCAATCTTTGTCGCTGGTTTTAGATTGCTCTTCTCGACTTAGGTAAAGTTGCACAGTAAACAACTACAAGTATTTTGGTTTCAGGTTCCATAAACTTTGTCGATGGTATGCCTTTATTGTCCCAGAAAACTGTGGCCATCATGTGGCGGTGCGAGTTAAAACTGTATTCTACGCGTTGTTACGGAAAGTATTAAAACAATACAGAACGAAATCGGTCAAAATTCGGCATGTTATATGATAATAATGTACCAGTTACAAGCCTAACGATAGAAAGGGGAAGGAGGGGATTTCCTCAGTGCCCAGACATTTTAAGAGGGTCCGAAAATTTGGGACTTCTCAATTTTAAGCAAAGAAACAATTAAAAATAGGAATTTGATAAACAATATTGGAAAAATTTAATTCATAACAGTCACGTGACAAAGTAAATAATAGTTGGTAAAAAATAATGGGGCTCCCAAGGTATTACCTCCGGCCCCGGCTTCTTTTTAAACTGCCCTGAGTGGTCGTGACATTTAGCAACGTGCTAACGAAGTTCTCGTAGTAGTGTGAATGAAACGTTACATCAGAGGCTGGTTTTGAGGTAAATAAATAAATGAATAAATAACCAAACCGCGTCGTTGCAGGGGCTTGCTCACGGGAGGGATGAGTGTGTCATATCCCCCATTTACCTTATTTTTGTCATATCAAATAATATATGATAAAGTAATTAATGTTGTATAACATTCAAGCGTGGTAAAAAATGCATACCCCCTCCTCAATTTTAAAAAAGCTGAGCACGCCACTGTTATAGTGTTCATGAGATTATTAAAGATACGAACGTTAATCGAAAGACGGACCCCAAATCCCTAGAAGCTTACATTATTTTAAAAAGCTAAGAAATACAAAAGAAACAGTCATTAACTCGGAGAGTATGATGGCAAGACGATAGTTGTTTTTTGTGGTTTTTGCGATGAAATTCATTTTCAACCTTTTTATTACACGACGATAACCGTTGTTAACCTGGAGATGGACGATTCGTCAACCAAAACACACTTGATATAAATATATAATACATATTTTTGAAGCGTTTGTCGTTGGCCAGTAAATAGTGCGGTAACACATGTACCAACTTAACTTCTTTGAGAAAAGAGTTATGTTTTAGGGTTTTAGGTCATAGATAGCAAAACATATGTGAGTAAACGTATTAAAAAAAAGTAAATATGTGCACAAACTGGTTGCAGCCGGTTGTAATGAGTGTCAATTAAGAGGACGCCACACCCGCATGTGTTGTCTCCGTCTTACAAACGCGTAACATGCCAAATTTACGATCAGCAGTTCAAGTTTTATGCCGTTAGCTTAAAAATTAGAGTAAATCGGCCTATTGTGAAACTTGATGGTAAGAACATTATCTGTGTTTTGTTGAAAGTTTTTTACGATACGTCAGTTTTTAAGCGAGGTATGCTTGTATAAAAAATGTAAATTAAAAATGCTCATAACTCACTTAAAAACTGAATTTTTGTAAAAAAAACTTCCAACAAAACACAGATAAAGTTCTTAACATCAAGTTTCATAATAGGACGATTCACTCTAATGTTTAAGCTGACGGCATAAAACTTGAACTGCTGAGCTTAAATTTGGTATGTTACTCGTTTGTAAGACGGAGACAACACATGCGGGTGTGGAGTCCTCTTAAGCGATTCCACAAAGTGCTGCCCAACGTGGTGCTCGAACCTACGACCTCCAAGATTACGAATCTTGTGCTCGACCGACTGAGTTGTTTATGGGCCAAAATAACAGTGGTAATTATAGTGGTTAAAAAGTAATGAGTACTAATTTTTATTAAAAAACATGCAATTATTTAAATAAATTAATGTATACGAATTAGGTTTTGTAATAAACTCCAAACGAAATATATAGGTATATCAAAGTTGTGATGTGGAAGAATATATTCAATCTATGGTGTGAGATGTTGATTTTTTTAATAATTATTAGAGTTAGATCACCAGATAAATATAAAACCGTGTTCAGAAAACTATTTAAATAGCTTCTCAATAATAGTATTATCCAAGTATGCACATAATTAAACGATTATATTCTTATTTATAAAATTATAATTATTATGATTTGTGATAAAATCAACTAAGTATTATGAAATTTGGATATATAATATGAAGACGCTAATCAACTGTAATTATTATCTATTAGTGTTAAGTCTAATACTATAAAGATTCGGCATACAGTATTATCTAGTCAACAGATGTAGTTTGGTTTAACCTTGTTTGATTCAATATTCTGTTTATGTGACAAATGTTGTTCCAAAAGTTAAAATGAAAGTTAGTTTTATAACGAACATAGTCATAGTTAGTTTTATTTTCAAAAATGTTGTGTTTTGATGTTATAAAAAATTATTGCTATTCAAAGTTCATATTGCTACCGTTAAAATAAACAGTTGTATAATGACAAACTAATTTAGTGTAATCTGTATATATATCATATACTATATTTTTACACATCATTTTAAATGCAGGTAGGAAATTTGAAAACAAAAAGCATAATATGTAAAATAATTATGATTTGATTAAATAGCCGAAAAAAATGGTGGCATATTTTATATAAATTAATTAGTGTGCATTTTAAAAATTAAATCCTAAAAAACTTAAGTTTTCAAATTAATATAGAACTGCTGGTATTTTAATATTAATTATTTAATAGTCCTTATTTTTGGTTTTTATCCATATGAATTTATTTCATAAACCTACGAGACGTAGCTCTTGGTTTGAGGTTGGATTTTCAATAATAACAATAATCTAAATTATACATTTCGTGGTTTTAGTTTGTCCCCTGTAAGCCATTAAACCATTTATTTTCATAAGGTACTTTAGTACTTATTACACAAGCTGGCTGTAGTTGATATATCGAAATGAAAAGATTGGCTTCTAATAGGGAAGAATTGAAAGCCAGATTTGCAACGACAAGGCAAGGCCTTTAGTAGAGAAGAAGAAGTACTTATTAGTTTATATGATATAAATTATAAATTACTTAAAATAACACATTTTTGTATAAATATTAAATTATAGTATGTTACATTTATAAAAATAATATTTTAGTAAGTAATATCTAGTCATCAATATTTTATTAGTTTATTTATATGAAAATAATTGTATACATCTATCTAAGAGTAGGAAGTGCACAATTTTTAGCATTTCGTTTTTCATATAAGTGATAATATAGCTATGTATAAGTACCCAGTTGGTTAAAATCAATTTTTGTTTCGATATGCGTGTTTTAAATGTACAACTTGTACAAAAACAACAAGAATAACACTGTATCCAAATTTTCACGTTTCACACTCACACGAGTAATGTTTTGTGGTCAAAATTAATTTCTAAAAAAATAAAATTACTTTCAATAGACCGGAACCGGAAGTTCAGATACCTATATTTATATAATATATTCTTGTCAATATGCAATCTATAGATACACGCGTACATATCACATGTACTACAGTAATATATGACGTGTATTATCTATAGATAT